GGAGGAGAAGGAGGAGGATGAGGAGAACAGCTCTGATAAAATCTAACAACCCTCACCTGGCAGGTGGGGAAAAACAGCATCCAAACAATTTTTCAAGGGAGTAGTCCATGAGCAACCCTGATCCTCAATAGTATGTTTGTCGTTGTGGTCCTCTATTGTGTCAGGCTTTTTTTGGAAGTATTGTTTTTTCCAAAATCATTCTCTGCGTTCCTTTCCCTTTCCTTTGCTAATACCGTTCTCTTTTTGACTTTCTTAGCTCCATTCTGTTGGAATTCTCAAAAGGTTTAATTTCCCAAAATATAGGATGCCTTATTAAAATCCAATAAAAAAACAGCACTCAAACAATTTTTCACGGGAGTAGCCCATGAGCAACCCTGATCCTCAATAGTGTGTTTGTTGTGGTGGTCCTCTATTGTGTCCAGCTTTTTTTTTGGAAGCATTTTTTCCAAAATCATTCTCTCCTTTCCTTTTCCTTTCCTTTGCTATAGCTTTTGTCTCTTACTTAGTTCAATTCTTCTTGCGTACCGTCCTTGGTTTCTATGGCGTTTCTTTGGGATTTTGATAGTTTTTCTATGGAAATTCTATGTAATTTCTTTTTGTGTTTCTATGATATTCTATGATGTTTCTAAAGGTGTGTCGATGGATGGGGTTTCAAAAGGATGTCTATGGGATTTCCTTTGGATTCCTGTGGTGTTTCTGTGGTATTTCTATGGGATTTCTTTGGGATATACATGATGTTTCTTTTGGATTTCTATGATACTTCTATGAGATTACTATGGGATTAAACACAGATTTCTATGATATGTCTAGAATGTTTCTTTGGGAATTCTATGGGGTGTCCATGAAGTTTCTTTGGAATTTCTATGGTGGTTCTATGATATTTCTATGGGGTTTCTATTGGATTCCTTAAGTTTTCCATGGTATTTCTCTGGGACTACTATGGGATTTTCTATGGGGTGTCAATGGTATTTCTAGGGGATTCCTATGGTGTTTCAAAAGGATGCCTATGGGATTTCCATTGGATTCCTATGGGATTTCCATGATGTTTCTATATTCTATGATATTTCTAGAAGATTTCTATGGGATTTTTGAAGGGATGCTATGGGAATTCAATTCTTATGGGGTTCCCATTGGATCCATTGGGTTCCTATGAGATTTCTATGGTAATTCTATGATGTTTCTTTGGGGTTCCTATGGGATTCCTATGGCATTCCTATGGGAGTTCATGATGTTTCTATGATGTTTCTATAGGATTACTATTGGATTCCTGAAGGAATTCTATGAGATTCTTTAAGAATGGGATTTCTGTGAGGTTCCTATGGCAGTTCCATGATATTTCAATGATATTTCTATGGGGTTACTGTGGGATGTCAATTGAAAGTAAGTTGAAATCAATTGAAAATAAATTCAACCAACATGGAAATCAAATGAAAATCCATTGGAAGTCAGTTGACATCAGTTGAAAATCAATTGAATGTAAATTGACATCAATTGAAAGTAAATTGAAAATCAATTGAATGTAAATTGGAAATCAATTGAAACCAATTGAACATAAATTGAAATCAATTGAAAGTAAACTGAAATCAACTGAAAGTAAATTGAAATCAATTGAAATCAATTGAAATCAATTGAACGTAAATTGCAATCAATTGAAAATCAACTGAAAGTGAATTGAAATCAACTGAAAGTAAATTGAAATACATTGTAAATCAATTGAAATCAATTGAAAGTAAATTGAAATCAATTCAAAATCAATGGAAAATGGAAATCCATAGAAAATCAATTCAAAGTAAATTGAAATCAATTGAAAGTAAAATTAAAATTAATTGAAAGTAAATTGAAATCAATTGAAAACCAATTGAAAGTAGATTGAAACCAATTGAAAGTAGATTGAAACCAATTGGAAGTAAATTGAAATCACTTGAAAATCAATTGAAAGTAAATTAAAATCAATTGAAAGTAAATTGAAATCAATTGAAATCTTTCATTTTTTTCATTTCCACAGGATTCAGACCCCGGTCCCTTGAAATTCCACATTAGAGAGACTCGAAGAATTGTTTAGGGGGGAGGGGAGGGGGTGGCCCTACACTAATCAGGATACTACATTATTGTTTTGTCACCTGCCGGGCTTCCTTCTTCCTTCCGCTAGCTCGCCATCACTCTGTGCGCCAACGGAACCGGATCTCGCAGCAAGTGCCAGCTTAAGTGGAGTAATCTCGCTCCAGGAGCTTTTGGCGAGCTTCACGTCAGTTTGAGCACACACGGACCCGAGACCTATCGCGAGCTCCAGGTCAGGCTGGGCGCACACAGACCAAAACACATGCCAGAGAGAATGTTAGAATAGATGCTTGATGAATGCCAGAAAAATGCCGGAATAGATGCCAGAGTAAAGGCCAAATAGAATGTGAGAGTAACCGACAGATAGACTGCCAGAAAGAATGCCAGATAAGATGTCAGATAGATTGCCGGCAAGAATGCCAGAATGAATGCCAGAATAGATACCAGATATTTTGCGAGAATAGATGCCAGATAGAATGCCGGAATAGATCCCAAATAGATCCAAATAGGATGTCAAAGTAAATGTCAGAGAGAATGCCCGATAAAGTGCACGAAAGAATGTCAAACTTGATGTCAAATAGAATGCCGGAAAGAATGTCAGAATGGATTCAATGCCAGACAGATTGCGAAATAGAATTTCACGCTTTATGCCAGAACATGCCAGAAAGAATGCCAGCTCAGCTTGGGCACACACAGACCCAAACCCCATGGCGAGCTGCAGATCAATTTGGGCACGCACGGACCCGAACATGTGCCTTAAAGAATGCCAGAACTTATGCCAGATAGAGCGTCAGAATATTTGCTAGAAAGGATGCCAGATAGAATGTCAAAATAGGTGCCAGATAGAATGCCAGAAAGAATGTCAGATAGAATGTCAAAGTATATGCCAGAAAGAATGTCAAATACTGTAGAAGGTCTGTATTTTTCATTTTTTGGATATGTAAATACATATATATATATACACATAATCAAGTCCAGCAACATAATTTGTCAGGGTGGGAACCTGCCGAAGTAAAGTAGCTTGCATGGTTTTCCATTTATTTTGGGTCTCACCCGGGAAGGAAGGTTCTCATCCACACCCATGCACTTAGGTGATGTTAGGTGATATATATATATATATATATGTGTGTGTAATAAACCATAATAGAACAATGTACTAACTATATATACTATAGGAGGAAACACCTTGTTCAGTTCAGGCGAAATGAGCACTACCCCGGCTTGGGGCAACTACCATTGGGACATGCTCGTGGAGATGACCGTGATTGGCGCAGTTTTCCCCTTATACGATGGCCTGAACTTGTATGTACTCAGCCAATGGTACCGTACGGGTTTCTTGGACTACAAGGAACATCACGTCATGAACGCTGTTTGGAGCATGAGCAAAACCGCGGTTCCTTGACTTGAAGATGCGAAGCCATGTTTGATCATGTTTGTTTCACATTTTCCAAGCAAAATCCTTGCAGAAACTAGGGGAAAATCTCAAGGGTTGAACGGTTAAACTGATGAAACACTACGTGCCAACATATTAACATTCTTAGTTACATTCCAACGCAGGCTGCAGCATTGCTGTTTTCCGCTCACGATGCTCATTTCTTTTGGCCTCACCCGGGCATTACCCTTATTTACCGTTGGGCTGTGCAGTTGGTGCCGCAATTATTGATCTTGGTTCCATACCTCCTGCGCATCTTCCGCTACGTCGCAGCCGCACACGACTACGACCCTGTCGCAACGGCGGCGGGCACTGAAATGGCCCGTGGTCTCCAGAGGACGGAGGTGAATAATAGTAAAGCCTGAGCTAAATGCAGGGATGCCAAGATAATGCCAAGGCCAGGGCGACTTGGAGTTGGTTCCGTAAAATCCGTATTTCCTCTTTATATCTGACATAGCAAACGAACAATATTGTGATGTAAGTTCATGTCATTGGTATATATATATATATGTATATGCACATTCATATATGCTTGATTTGTTGTAACTTGAGTATGAGGTGGTAGGATGTCATATTGCATATAGATATAATTTTTATGCTAAGTGATTTCAAAATTTGAACATGTCATTGCCATGATTTGTCCAAACTTCAAAAGTCGCTTCGCCTCCCGGCCGCTTAAAGTGGCTGGGCGGCATGGCACCAGCAAGGCTTGTTGGCATATAATTAATTTTTAAGACTGGAGCCCCCGTTCGAATTTCAACTACAGAATGGGAGGCCTTGTGCCCCGTTTCAAGGGCATTTCCGGGCTTAAATTAAGATGAAAAGATGGGTATGGGCCAGGCATTTTGTACCCACAGCTTGGGAATTGCATTTTATAAGTTTTCAACGTTTCGGTAGTTGAAAGACCTTTAAAAATCAAAAGTCATTTTGTAGCAAGAGAATTTGCCCATCGGAAGACAACATGTAAAAACCCAATCTCATTTTGTAGCATGGGAAGTTGCCCTTCGGAAGGCAACATGTGAAAACCCAATCTGATTTTGTAGCAAAGCTGATGATCATAACATGTAAAAACCAATCTTCATTTTGTAGTGGTGGAGTGCCCCCTTCAAGTAACTTGATGATAAAAACCAATGTTCATTTTGTAGTGGTGGAATTTCCCCTTCAAGTAACCTCATGATAAAAACCAATCTTCATTTTGTAGCAGTATCATGTTGTCATTTTCCGTAATCCTTTGGAGGTTGAGAACCATCATTTTATAATGGCTGAGGTTAGGAACTTTGAGGCTTTGGTACAAAATGAGGGTCTCGACCCCATAGGTGAAATTCAAACCGGGATAGACTGGATAGAACTACATAGAAAAACATAGAACCACAGGCTTCGCGATGGTTTATGGATATTTGTTGATGCTTACCACAGTTTTTTGGTTTGTTATATACATAAATCATGGTTCATGCCAGTTGACGGCTATGTTTGTATGTATTCAATATAAAAAATAAAAATGAAATAATCGAAGGAAGTTTAGAAGTCAAACTTCCGACAATATGGACAGATGAAAAGCAGAGCAGGGAAGAAGCAGAGAGAAGAGAAAGATTAGAAGAAAGAAGAGTAGAAGAGAAAGAGTAAGAAGAAAGAAGATGGAGATGTGCGAAAAGGTAGGAAAGTCGCGAAACACTGTGTTTTTCGAATGATTTGAGGCTCCGGAGGGTCGAAAAGTAGGCTCGCTAAAGCGGCGGGTGCGGAGCCAGCTGGCCAGATGAGAGATGAAAAGTTGCACGCCGTTGTGGTGCGAAGCACATTTCGAAGTCCAAATGTACAAAGCACAACCACTTTTGGCAGTTGAGATGTCGAAAAAGTGCACGCCGTTGTGGCGCGAAGCACATTTTGAAGCCAAAATGTACAAAACACACCAGCGTCGGACCATTTTTGGAAGTTGAGATGTCGAAAAAGTGCACGCCGTTGTGGCGCGAAGCACATTTTGAAGTCAAAATGTACAAAACACACCAGGTTAGGACCACTTTTGGAAGTTGAGATGTCGAAAAAGTGTACGCCGTTGTGGCGCGAAGCACGTTTCCAAGTCAAAATGTACAAAACACGACATGTTCGCGCCACTTTTGGAGGTTCGGATGTTGAAAAAGTGCACGCCAGTGTGGCGCGAAGCACATCTCGAAGTCAAAATGTACAAAGCACCACATGTTCGCGCCACTCTTGGAGGTTCGGATGTTGAAAAAGTGCACGCCGTTGTGGCGCGAAGCACATTTCCAAGTCAAAATGTTAAAAGCACCAGGGTTCGGACCACTTTTGGAGGTTCGGATGTCGCAAAAGTGCACGCCGTTGTGGCGTCAAAATGTACAAAAACACTAGGGGTTCGGACCACTTTTTGGAGGTTCAGATGTCGCTTCGCTTCAAGACACTACACTACAGGACATTACACTACACAACACTCCAGTACACTACATTACACTACATTACACTCCAGTACACTCCACTACACTAAATTACACTACACCACACTACATTACACTGAATGACATTGCAACACAGATAGACAGGTAGACAGCTAGACAGATAGACAGATGAAAGGGAGAGATAGATAGACAGGTAGGTAGATAGATAGATAGATAGATAGGTAATTAGATGAAAGAGAGAGAGAGAGGCCAGCTGGGTAGATGAGATAGATAGATAGATGGCTAGACAGATAGACAGACAGAAAGACAGACATATCGATAGACAGATAGATGGATAGATAGATAGATAGATAGATACATCGATTCATACATAGACCGATACATGGAGAGAGAGAGAGAGATAGATACATAGAGAGATAGATAGATAGACACAGAGATAGATAGATAGAGAGATAGATAGATAGATAGATCGATAGATAGATAGATAGATCGATAGACAGATAGATAGACAGATAGATAGATAGACACATAGATAGGTCGATAGATAGATAGACACATAGATAGATACATGGATAGATGGACAGACAGACAGACAGACAGACAGATAGATAGATAGATAAATAGACAGGTAGACAGATAGACACCACTGCACTACATTACACTACCTTCCACTACACTTCACTACATTACTCTACACTACACTCCACTACACTACAACTACAACTGCAACTACACAACTACACTCCACTACACTACACTACACTGCACTCAATTACACTCAACTACACTACACTACATTACATTACACTACACCCCACTACACTACATTACACTACACTACACTACTCCCACTACACTTCACTACATTGCACTACACTACACTCCACATCACAACACTACAACTACACCTAAACAACTACACTCCACTACACTCCACTACACACCACTACACTACATTACACTACACTACATCCCACTACACTACACTACAACTACACAACTACATTCCACTACACTCCACTGCGCTAAATTACACTACACTACAGTACATGACACTACACTACACTCCACTACACTACATTACACTACACTACTACACTACACCACCTTCCACTACACTTCACTAGGTTACGCTACACTACACTCAACCACACTACAACTACAACTACAACTACACTCCACTACACTCCACTAGACCAATTTACACTACGCTAAGTTACACTACACTACACGACATTACACTGTACTACACTACATTCCACTACACTCCACTACACTACACTACAGTACACTACACTACATTAGACTGGATGACACTGCACCATAGATAGACAGGTAGACAGATAGTCAGACAGACAAGTAGATAGATAAATAGATAGATAGATAGACAGATAGACAGCTAGACGGATAGACAGATGAAAGAGAGCGAGAGAGAGATAGATAGATAGATAGATAGATCGATAGCTGGATAGATACATAGAAAATAGATAGGTAGGTAGGTAGATAGGCAGAGAAAGAGAGAGAAAGAGTGAGAGAGATCAAGCACCTTTCAATCCATCAGTGGCTTCGCTCTGCCATCCTTGATTCACAACAACCAACCTCTCCTATAGGTTTCCTATTTTTGAAACTTCCGCCACCGCCTTGTGCGGTACTAGTGGTATATTAATAATAAAAACAATAATCATCATCAAAGGAAGTTTAGAAGTCAAACTTCCGACAATATGGACAGATGAAAAGCAGAGATGGGAAGAGTCAGAGAAGAGAAGAGAAGAGAAGCGAAGAGAAGAAGAAAGAATATCAAAAAGAGAAAGAGTGAGAAGAAAGAACGAAAAGGTAGGAAAGTCGCGAAACACTGTGTTTTTCCAATGATTTGGGGCTCCGGAGGGTCGAAAAGTAGGCTCGCTAAAGCGGCGGGTGCGGAGCCAGCTGGCCAGATGAGAGATGAAAAATTGCACGCCGTCGTGGCGAGAAGCACATTTCCAAGTCCTAATTTACAAAACACCACATGCTCGGACCACTTTTGGAAGTTGCGATGTCGAAAAAGTGCACGCGAAGCACATTTCCAAGTGAACATGTGCAAAACACCTCAGCTTCGGAGCATTTTTAGAAGTTGCGATGTCGAAAAAGTGCATGGCGCGAAGACAACTTTAAAGTCAAAAGTGCAAAAAACGGCGGGGTTCGGAGCATTTTTGGATGTTCAGATGTCGTTTCGCGTGGCAGGTGCAAGGGATTGTGCACCTGGTCAAAAGTGAGCAAAACGTGGTGGCTGGTGGTTTTGCAGCATTTCCAAAAACGATGGCAGTTGTGGGACATTTGAACAGGATCTGCAAAGATGCATTTTCCGTGGTAGGCGCAGTACAAGAGACATTTTCATCAGAGCTGTTAGGAGGTCCGGGCGCTGATTTCCTGAGAGTGGTTGCATTTTGGAGCATCGGATCTTCAGTTTTGGGAAGATGATTTTGCGTGACAGGTCAGGTGCAGCACTTCGTATGACATGGCATCACTTTTTCGTGGCAGGCACAGCACTTTAGACAGACCGCAAAACGAGTTGGCACGAGGCCGTCAGCTCTGCACTCAACTTTTTGTCAGATGTCTCGCAGAATTGTTTTGTTTTTGAAGGTGTCAACTTCGAAAATTGCGGAAGTCTGGCAGAATTGTCTCGTTTTTGATGTTGTCAAGTTCAAAAAATGAGGAAGTCTGGAAGAATGACTGCATTTTTGATGTTGCCAAGGTCAAAAACTGAGGAAGTCTCGCAGAATAGCTTCGTTTTCAATCTTGCAGATAGACAGTTAAATAGATAGACAACTACAACTGCAACTTCAACTACAAGTACCGCTACACTACACCACAACTACAACTACAAGTACAAATATACTACGCTACATTACGCAACTCCAATTACATGACAAGTACACTACACGAATTACAATTTATATACAGTAATTGCACTACACTACTCTAATTACACAACAGCAACAACTACAACAACAACTATTATTAATACTACTGCTGCTGCTGCTACTACTA